GCAGAACTGAAAATTGAGACTGACGATCTATGGGGCCACAAGAAAGTGAATACATATGAGCAGCTGGAAAGATTAATGGACTTCTCTCTCCATGATTCCCCAACCCAAAGCTGCTAGGCACCACTTAGAAAAGTCCCCCTGAACTCACAGTTTCCTCTGTAAAATGTGAGATCCAGGTAGGCAGCTACCTTATCCCCCATTTTGGTGTCCTTTGCAGCAATGCTATTCTTGCCTCACACCCCAGAAAACATCCTGACTGCCTATAGGAAGAAAAATTTCTGAGGGCAGCTACAGACAAAAAGTGGAGTTGAAGCTAGCAACTCCAGCGCATTAAATCTGGGGACTCCTCTTTTACTCAGACAAAGAAGATCTCAAACCAGAGAGGGCATCAGCAGCAACATGAAAATGAACAGGAATGGAAAAACAAACAAACAAACAAAACAAAACAAAAAAACAGGAAAGGCTATATTTGCCGGGCATGGTGGCTCACTCCTGTAATCCCAGCGCTTCAGAAGGCTGAGGCAGGCAGATACCTGAGGTCAGGAGTTCAAGACCAGCCTGGTCAACATGGTGAAACCATGTCTCGACTAAAAATACAAAAAGTAGCTGGGCATGGTGGCACATGCCTGTAATCTCAGCTAGGGAAGCTGAGGCAGGAGAATCCCTTGAGACCAGGAGGCAGAGATTGCACTGAGCTGAGATCTTGCCATTGCACTCCAGCCTGAGCCACAGAGTGAGACTCCATCTCAAAGAAACGCTATACTTAGATAAAACAGATTGAAAGTCAAAAACTGTAAAGAGAGAAAAAGAGGGTCACTGTATAACAATGAAAATGCCAATACAGCAAGAGGATATAACAATTGTAAATATGTATGTACCCAACACTGGAACACACAAATATAAAAGGCAAACATTTGAAGATCTAAACAGAGAGATTGGTTACAACAATACTGGGAGATGTCAGTACTCCACTTTCAGTAGTGGACAGCTTCTCCAGACAAGGAAACATTGGAATTACACTATGCTCTAGATCAAATGGACTTAACTAACATTTACAGAATATTTTATCCAATTGCTATTGAATATACATTCTTGTCATCAGCGCATGGAACATTCTCCTGTAGAGAGCATATGTTAGGCCACAAAACAAGTCTCCACAAATTTAAGAAAAGACCTGAAAATAAGAAATTACTAGAAGAAGATACTGGAGAAATGCTTTAAGACATCATTCTGGGCAAAAATCTTTGCATATGATGCAGCAAATTTTTGTATAAGACCTGAAAAGCACTGGCAATCAAAGCAAAAACAGACAAATGAGAGTAAATCAAGCTACAATGCTTCTGCACAGCAAAGAAAACAATAAAGTGAAGAGACAACCTACAGCAATAGAGAATATCTTAGCAAACTATTCATCTAACAATAGAATAATAAATCACAATATTAAACAAACTCAATAGCCAAAAACCAAATTTTCTGATTTACAAATGGGCAAATGATCTGAATAGACATCTCTGAAAGAAAGACACAAGTGGCTTTTCGTTTCTGAAAGAAAGACATGATAGACACACAGATATATGAAAAAATGTTCAACATCACAAATCATCAGGGAAACGCAAATCAAAACCACAGTGATATACCATATTACCCCAGTTCAAATGGCTCTTACTAAAAAAGACAGAATATAATAGATCCTGGCTAGGAGGCGAAGAGGAATGCTTATATATTGTTGCTAGAAATGTATATATTAATACAGCCACTATGAGACATAGTATGGAGTTTCCCCAAACAGCTAAAAACAGAGTTACATATGATGTAGCAATCCCACTGCTGAGTAGATATCCAAAAGAAAGGGAATCCGTACAGCAAAGAGATACATGCATTCCCATGTTTATTGGATCATTATTCACAATAGCCAAGATATAGAATCAACCTAAGTGTTCACTGATGGATGAATGGATTAAGAAAATGTGGCATGCATATAAAATGGAAGATTATTGAGCCAGCAAGATGAATAAAATCCTGTCATCTGCAGCAACATGAATGGAACTGTAGGACACTATGTTTAGTGAAATAAGCTAGTTACCTAAAGACAAATTATCACATGTCCTCACTCATACGTAGGAGCTAAAAGAATCTATCTCACAGAAGTATAGAGTAGAATGGTGGACACCAGAAGTTAGCAAGGGAGGGGAATGAAGAGAGGTTGGTTAATGGCTGCAAAAATACAGTTAGACAGAAGGGGTAAGTTCTAATGTTCAGTAGCAAAGTTACGGCGACCATAGTTAACAATAATTTAATGCTTGTTTCCAAATAGCTAAAAGAACGTTTGAAATATTTCCAGCACAAACAAATAATAAATGCATTAGGTGATGAGTATCCCAGTTACCCTTTTTTGGTTATTACACATTTTATGGATGCATGAAAATATATGTTCTGTATAAATATGTATAATTATGTACAAATTTTAAAAACAGGCAAAGGTCTTAAATAGACAAGTCTCCAGAGAAGATGTACGAATAGCCAACAATTCCATGAAAGATGCTTCCATTATTAGTCTTTTCAGAAACGTAAATCAAAACCACCTCATGATACCATTTAATGCCCACTACTTTAAAAGAACTAGTATTGGGAATTACTTTAAAAGAACTAGTATTGGGAATTACTTTAAAAGAACTAGTATTGGTGCGGAGGTGGAGAAATTGGAGTTCTTCTAGGGTGTTGGTGGAAATGCTAAATTGTGCCCCGGCTACAGAAAACAGTTTATCAGTACTTCAAAAATTTAAACGTAGAAGGAACCATATGAGCTAGCAACTCTACTCCTAAGTATCCTACGTATACACCGCAAACGATTGAAAACAAATACTCAAACAAGTACATGTATATACTCACTGTATATATTTATTAACAATACCCAAAAGGTGAACACAAGCAAACATCCGTCAGTTGATGAATGGATAAACACAATGTGATATATACATATGGATATTATTCAGCTACGAAAACAAATGAAGTACTGACATATATTACAACATGGATGAAATTTGAAAACATGCTAAATGAAAGAAGAAAGACAAAAAAAGCCACTTAACGCAATAATCAGTGGTGAGGGAAAGTAGATTAGTGTTTGCTAGGGGCTGGGCAGAGAGTGGAATGAGAATGACTGCTTAATGGGTCCAGGATTTTCTTTTGTGGTGATAAAAATGAGTTACCACTAGATAGAGGTAATGCAGTGCGTTGTGAGTGTACTAAATTCTACTGAATTTGACATGTTTTAGTGGTTAATTTTATGTTACATAAATTTTACCAACACAGTTTTAACAAGAGCCAATATTTTTAAACCTATCATTATTTCCAAAAATAACTATATTTGAAAAGTACTCAAGTTATCAGTGGAGAAAACTTGTTTTAACAATTATACTACAGGGAAACTTGAACATTAGTTTATAAATGTACATACTATATGTGCATAGGAAAGAGACCATAACACGTAGCATAGACATTTTTAAAGTGATTATTTCTTCTCATTATGTTTGACCAACCATATGTTTTCTGCTTATAATTTCTTAAAGTTCTTGTACAGTAAAATATTTTAAAAACCTCACTCAAAAGCATATATTGATATGGATATAGTCAAGGATTATAAAGTGATGCTGAAGATTTTGTACAAAATTTCAAACAGTATGAATCCAGTTATTTGAATGTAAATTGTGTGTGTGACTCTGTGTGTATTCATATCTATTTATATGAATATACAGATTTCAAAATGCCTTATATATGTTTTTTTTAAGACAGGGTCTCACCCTGTCATCCAGGCTGGAGTGCAGTGGTGTGATCATGGCTCCCTGCAGCCACGACCTCCCTGGGCTCAGGTGACCCTCTTACCTCCACCTCCTGAGTAGCTGGGTCTACAGGTGCATGCTACCCTGCCCAGCTATATTTTGTGTTTTTTGTAGAGATAGGGTCTTGCTAAATTGCCCGGGATGGTCTCAAGCTCTCAGGCTCAAGCAATCCTCTTGCCTCAGCCTCTCAAAGTGTTGGGATTACAGTCATGAGCCACCGCATCAAGCCAATGCCATATATTTTATATTATAGTCAGTGTTATACTGAGTATATGTTTAAATATTATATTATTGGCCAACAAATTCATATCTTTAATTCATAGTTATATAACAGAGACATTAAAGAAACATTGTAGTTGCATGTGAGTGGTGTGAATGCATACATCTTACAGTTTTCTTATTCATATCTAAGTGACTGAATGTGAGAGATGCCTATTTCAATTATTATTTATTGAATTTTGTCTTCCTTCTTTTCAGTTTTTAAAGATAAAATTCAAAGGTAAGAATTAGAGCTAAGGCTTGGCACGATGGCTGACGCATGTAATCCCATCACTTTAGGAGGCCAAGGCAGGTGGATCACATGGTCAGAAGTTCGAGGACAGCCTGATCAACATGGTGAAATTGTGTTTCCACTAAAAATTAGCTGGGTGTTGTGGCATCTGCCTGTAATCCCAGCTACAAAGGAGACTGAGGCAGGAGAATCGTTTGAACCTGGGAGGCAGAACTTGCAATGAGCCAAGATTGTGTCATTGCACTCCAGCCTGAGCAACAAGACGGAAACTCCATCTCAAAACAAAAAAATTAGGGTTAAAATCTCAAGAATAATTTAAAACTCCTAATTTTCAGAGGTATAAGTATGTATAATATACATATTTATATGTGTTTATGTATAAACACATTTGAGATTAAAAAGAGCAAACAGAACTTATTGTTTAATGACTGGTACAATCACAAAGTTCTTTTCTAGTAATTTATTGTCTAAAATCAAGAAATTGAAAATTTTATATGACAATGGCAAAAACTGGTCAGGAATCAAATTTTAAAATGAAAATTTTTACTCTAAAATACAATACATTATCTAAGTCTAATTTTTTTTTTTTTTTTTTTTTCTGAGATGGACTCTCCCTCTGTTGCCTAGGCAGGAGTGCAGTGGCACAATCTCAGTGTTTAATACACAGTTGTATGGCTTTGCTTTTCTCTTTATCAGCACATTTTTTTTTAACTTCTTTGCAAATCCCACCACTTTGTTACTAATATGAAAATATAGGACTGAATTCCTAACTGAAAAACAGTAACATATACACAAAGCAAACTCATAGGACACAGTTGTAAGACATTGCAGTTTAATGACCCAGGAAAATGTTTGTGTTCCAATGTTATATAATGAAACCATAAGACAAAATCCTGGGATCCATCTGATTAGCATTTATACTCATTATTGTATTTGTGTACATTCAAGTAAGGTTCTGTGTGTCTGTCCAGCTCAAGAGCTATCTGGACCCTTATGTTAGAGCCCCACTAAACAGTGGCCTCCCTCTCAACTTACGCCTACTGACTAGGTCAGAACATAGAGTAAAACTCCTGGGGAACCTGGGTAGGGAGTCAGGACAAGAATTACATGGCCTGGTGCCTCGATTTGCTCTCCTCCAAGACCTTAAATGTCAACACTTTATTTTTCTTTCTCTTTAGGCATGGATCCCTGAGTTCTGTCCACAATACGACAAGATAATTTGGTAGCATAATAGAATACTGCAGATACAATGCTGAGTGAAGAAGAGTAGAAATGGGAAGGCTTGGTTGTGTGAAAAGTGAGTTCTTGAAAAACGGAGATGCTTCATGAGGGTGAGTGGATTAGATCCCAGTTTAATATCCGATGGAAGCCGAAAGCAAAATGCTAAGAGTAGAATACCTTTACACAAATTTAGCAAAATGTTAGGTAGCCATAGTTTCTGGTGTCTTTGTCTGTTCTTGGCCTTTTTTTTTTTGAAATGTGATGGGCGGGAGAGGAGTGCCTGGCACAAAGTTAGCTGGCTTTTCTCGGGCAATACTGCCATCGTGCGGAAATAGTTTCACAGCATCCAAAGCCGTGAGGGTTTCCTCCACGTAAGCCCTAGCACTTGAAGAAGGAAAAGCCAGTGCAGGCTGAACAGGCCCGAGACCCAAGCGGGCCTTCCTACCATTTTCTCTGAGGCCTGGCAGAAGCAATGGACAAATGCAAAGTCTTAGTGAAGTAGCTGGTGAGTGAGGCACCAGGACTGAGCCAGCTGCTTCCAGAAAGTCTTGGCACAGGAAATAGAGGACAGGGCCTCGGTTTCCTCATAGTGGGGACAAAACTAGAAGTGACAAAGCCAAGTACAGACTCTTGGGGCATTTGTTATGAATATGACCTTGGGAGTTGTGGCAATCTGGCTGTCCCTGTGTTACGGGGCTGTGACATTTATAGCAGCATTGTAAGATGGCAATGGACAGGCCAGTTCCAGGGAAGATCTATCTGAACCCAGTGTCATTCACATGGTCCTTGATACAGGAGAATTCTAAACACCATTGCCTATAGCTAGAGGGACCTCTGTAGAGGAGTGGGGATACACTGACATGCCTATGTGGGCCAGTTCATCTTTTAGGGGAGCCGATTTGCTAAAGTGGATGCAGGCCAAGAATGTGATGGAAGGCCTAAGCAATTATTGGAGTGCACAAGCCAGCAGTTTCTGCGACTTTATAAGTTCAGGAGAAAGTCTTTTGTCATAATGGGACCCCAATGTCATCTCAGTTCTCTCAAGGAGGGCAGTTAGGTGGCTCTTTTCTGTTCGATGTCCCTTAGAATTACTGCATTTTTTAGGCCTGAGCAAATCATTATTTACTGCATCCTCGCTAGTATTGGCTGTACCAGCTTTAAATCTATTTCCTAATAAGATATCCAACCTTTCGTGTGGAGACCTCCAGATATTCTATGACTCATAATTGAAGAATCAAAAGGGTGACTAAAATTGCACGGGCGACTTGTTTCTCGTGACACTCTTCTTCAGAGTTTATTATCTCACTATCTGAATGATTAGTGAAAGGAATTAATGTTAGTTTGGCTCTGCGCTGTGACATTACAGTGGTTCAAGAGCTTGTTCGGGGATGACCTCTCCTGACCTCTGAGGATTCAGACTGGCATTCCAGGCAGGGTAAGGCATTGTAGAGTAACCTGGCTTTTTTGACATCTTTGACTGTGTGTAGCTCTCTCTCTAGCTGGTTTTGTTGAGTTGAGTGATGGTTTGCAGACATCGATGCTATTGACACGCATGAGTGTCCTGGAGACTGTCTGGGAAGCATTTCTCTATGATTCTTGTTCCTGGGAATGATAAAAACTGCCTCTCCAGAGTATTTCACCTAAAGTAGACTTAGATAGCTGCTAAACTGCCTCCTATGGAGGAATAGTTTGACCCGACCATCTTCATGGAAGAATACGGACCTACCTATGGGACAGTGTCTCATATCTGATGGTAGAAATGTTGGTGGTCCCAAACCTAGAATTATTTAGGCTAAGGGATCTTTTATTCACCCCTTGCTAACTATCTTTAATACAGGCTATGTGCCCGACTAGTGGATGGAAGCCTGGGAAGGAAATCACACCTAGCCGAGTACCAGTGGTAGTGACAAGGAGGCTGACTGGTTTCTTCTGCAAGGGAGGCTAGTGTGGAGGGACAATGAGCCTATCATTCCCATTTAGGTTGGATACATGTCATTCACCTACACCAGGTAGTCCTTTTTTTTTTTTTGAGATGGAGTCTTGCTTTGTCACCCAGGCTGGAGTGCAGTGACATGATCTTGGCTCACTGCAACCTCTGGCTTCTGGGTTCAAGTGACTCTCCTGCCTCAGTCTCCTGAGCAGCTGAAACTACAGGCACGCACCACCATGCCCAGCTAATTTTTGTATTTTAGTAGACCTGGTTTTCACCATATTGGCCGGGCTGGTCTCTAACTCCTGACCTAGTGATGCACCCTCCTGGGCCTCCCAAAGTGCTGGTATTTCAGGCATGAGCCACCTTGCCCGGCCTCTCACAAAATCTTAATTGCATTCTCTGTGTCCTCATAAACAGCCATTCCCTGCCTCTGATTTAAGGAGAAAAGCATATTATTGAACCTTGAGGATTAAACCTACCACACCATAAGAGAAATGAGAAAGCAAAGTGTATGTTACTCTACTTCTAACATGTCATAACCTTAAACCAAACGTATAGTCAGGTATGTATTGTAGAGAGCCAGTATGCACACTGTGATGTATCTGTAAACATTTAAACAAAAAATGAATAGTGTCTACTTTTCTTAAAGAATGTTTTTGAGCATGTATTTTTCAGATATACCGTCATTTACACTGAAGGCTTAAAATGTTGAAAACAATGCTTAGTAATTATAATGTTCAAATGAATTCCTACTCCTGAAAGCTTTGTTAAAATACACATTTGATCTGCTCCAAACCACAATGTAGAGTGTAACTGAATTTCAATACAGATTTATTTTTCACATGAAATTAGGAATGCATATATAGCCACGTGCAGTGGGTCAAACTTGTAATCCCAGGAATTTGGGAGGCCAACGTGATTGGATGACTTGAGGTCAGGAGTTCAAGACCAGCCTGGCCAATATGGTGAAACCCATGTCTACTAAAAATACAAAACAATTAACTAGGCCTGGCAGCGTGTGCTCATAATCCCAGCTACTCAGGAGACTGAGGCAGTCACTATAGCCTGGGTGACAGAGAAAGTTTTCGTCCCCTAAAAAAGAAAAAGTACAGACACACACACATATAAATAATCCAAATGGTTATTTTTTTGCGTTGGCAAATTGTATGGTAGTGCTTTTCTTCTTTATTAGTATACTGATTTTTCTGAATCTTTGTCAAGCATTATTCTTTAATTAACTAGTAGGAAAATACTGTAAGACTTACATCTAAAATACAAATTATTAAAAAAAGACACACACGCAAAAACAGACACACCCCATAAAACCTCAGAAAATACCTGAGGAATATGTAGTGGCATGGGAACATGCCGTGTTTTGATGTTAAATGTTAAATGACGTGACCGCGATGTGAAACTCTGACTAACCTCGACAGGAATTGAACATATGTACTGTGAGTCTCATGCCATGTGGAGCATGTATGGATGCAGTCATGACAGATATGTGGTCCTTCTTCTATGGTTCATGCCAAATTATTGCCTACAAAACAACCCATGAGCTAGAACAAACTCCTTGGTTGTCTGGGAGGGGACCCAGGTCAGAGACCAACCAGGATTTGTATGTTGTTTCCTACAGATCTCTTCTGAGCCCCAAGCAATTTTATCCTTGTGTCTTCATGCCCAAATTTGTCCCCGGAGGAGACAGTTTGATGCTGTCAAGGCTACAGTCCCTATAACTCTGAGGTAATTAATTCATAATCATATAGACTAGGTTAAGAGGATTTTAAGTTTCTGAAAGAATAAGATTCCTGATGAGGGTGGGTGATTTAGGCCTTGGTTTAATTTCAGATGGAAAACAAAAGCAAATGTGCCACAATAAGACCAGATGGCTCTAAACTGGGCAAAAGCAAGGCAGCAATGTTTCCTTGCGGCTTTGTATCTGGGTGGCGTTTTTTCAGACATGGAGGGCGGGAGAAGAGGGCTCCATCTTGGCACATCTAGAGCACTACTGCCACCGTTAGGTAGTAGTTTAAAGACACCCTACGCCATGTCAATGTCCTTCCCCTGAGGACTACCTGTTGGAGAAAGTCTGGTCTGTGGGGAGATGGAAAAAGCTTGGGCTCCTTGCTGGTCCTTCTTGCCTTCTTGTCTAAGGCAGTAAATCAGATCTGGACGTAGCGGTATCTTGGTAAAGAACCTGGAGAGTGAAGGAAAGCAAATCCTGTAACTTTCCTTTGGAAGAACCCTGTTTATTGTGCGTGGATACTGATTCCGCAAGAGACCCAAAGACCTGTAGCAAGATGATGCCATGTGAAAGCTGGCCAGGTCTTGCTCCAAGGGGCAGGAACAGGAGACAGAGGCCCACAAGAGCCAGCATTGGTCTTTTAGTGGGTTCCTGAAGTCCTGCCCATACCAGGCAGAACCGAGGCCCCGCCCCCAACTTCCTGTGCCAGGACCGCCTGGCAGCCACTGCTTCACTCCAAGCCCCTCACTCTCCAGTTTCTACACCGAGAGAGCATCAATGTCCAGGCGTCTCTTAAGACCTTAGAGGAGAAGCCAAGAAGACCTAGCTTGGAGCCCAAGCCTCTTCTACCTCCGCACAGATCAGACCTTCGCCCAAAGCGAAGCTTCCCGGGAAGGACGCTGTAATGGCGGATTCTGTCTTCAAACCATTTCCTCACGGTGGCAGTAGTGTTTCACATTTTCGTGGAAGCCCTGTCTAGGAGCCCTCTTCTCCCGCCATTTCTGTCTGAAAAAACGCCACTCAGAGGAAAAAGAACCACCAAATCAGGCTGCCGGGAGATTTGTCCAGTTTGGTGCAACCTGGTCTTATTGTTGAATTTTTTCAATTTTATTTTCATCTTAAAATAAAATGAGGCCTAAACCACTCTTGCTCCTCAAGAATCTTGTTCTTTCAGAAATTAAATACACTCCTCCCGCCATTTCTGTCTGAAAAAACGCCACTCAGAGGAAAAAGAACCACCAAATCTGGCTGCCAGGAGATTTGTCCAGTTTGGTGCAACCCGGTCTTATTGTTGAATTTTTTCTATTTTATTTCCATCTTAAAATAAAATGAGGCCTAAACCACTCTTGCTCCTCAAGAATCTTGTTCTTTCAGAAATTAAATACACTCTTCATTAAGTCTATCTGGATATGATTTACTTCACACAGTTACAGGTT